CATTTTATTGGTATCAAAAAGCTGCTGAAAATGGACAAATAAATGCACAATTCAATCTTGCAGTTATATATGAAAATGGTGAAGGAATAGAAAAGAATTTAGAAAAGGCATTTTATTGGTATCAAAAAGCTGCTGAAAATGATAATAAAAATGCACAAAATAATCTTACTATTTTATATAAAAATGATAAAGGAATTAAAAAGTATTTTAAAAAGGCATTTTATTGGTATCAAAAAGCAGCTGAAAATAATAATAAAGTTGTATAAATTAATCTTGCAATTTATATAAAATTGGTAAAGAAATTGAAAAAAGTTTATAAAGGATTTTATTAAACGTCATAATACAGCTAAAAAATAGTAGAAATGTAAAGATATTAAACCAAAGATATTATATAATATTAATTTAAAAAATATAAAAATAAATATTTCGATTTAAATTATTTTCATATAACAATAAAAATCTTTGTAATACTCAATATTCCTAGTAAATATTTTGTATAAAATATTAAATTATTAATATTCATTATTTTTAAAATGACTTTAAATATTGTATTTGAAAATCAATTGTCGAATAAAATGAAAATTTTGCATTTATACTATTAGTAAAAATACTCAATTTTATTTTACAATAAACTTTGATCATTATTATACGAAAAGGCTTACTAGTGATAACATTTATTATTAAAAGATACATTATAGAATGGAAACATACAAAATGGAATAAATAAATTTTATTAATAATATTTTTTAAAAAAATAAATGTGTGTATTAAGATGATTTCTCAATAAATTAATTTGAGTAAATCTCATGTAACAGAGTCAGTAATACAAAATTTTATGATAATTTTAAAATTTTTATATTTTAATTTAGAAATTAGACTCACATTTATATAACACAAGTAAATATGAGAATTTCTAATTCAAGTTATTTTTTATAGACTTGAGTTATATGTTTCATAACTTGAGTTAACTCGAATATAAAATAACTCGAGTCTATATTTTTTAAAATTATTTTTAATTATCTAGAGTTAATATTTATACAATATAACATTATTATTATTAAAAAGTAAATTAGAAATTTTTTATAAAAGGTGTAACAATTTTCTATTAAATGTAATCTTTTTAAAAAAAAAATGTATAACAAATATTATATTAACAATAAATATTATTTTTTTAATAGTTTGATAAATACTAAATAAGTTTATTACACATACTTTAAAATAAATTTAGTTAATTTGGTTAGTTAGTAATTAAATTTCAATCATTATTTTTAGTTTAAATAAAAATGAATATTTACACTGAAACTTTAAAGGGAAAAAATATTACTGAAATTTCTAATAATAACTGAAATATTAAAGATAAATAAGTAATAAATAGTATATTCTGATTTTGAATTATTTCAACCAAATATGCTTTTAGATTTCATTGGATTCAAAATCTAAAGAAGCACTTTTAGAATTGCAATATGGTTTATATTCTCATACTGATGAAATTATAGCAGAAATTTTATATCAGCATGTTTGAAATAAGTGATGAATATGTCAATCAACATCACTTATTGATCAATGCCAAAAAGTGTTGTGCAACAAATCCTTTATCAATTAACGCTATTTAAAAACATGTAAAACAACGCAACTTAAATGTAAAGCAACGCATATAGTAAAACAACACCATTTAAAAACATGTATAACAATACCGATTTGTATGATTATTAATATGCAAATATCCAGTAAAATTTATTAATAAAAAAACGCGTCTATGATACAGCTGAGCTATTATAATATACTAATTATGCTAAAATAAAATACTAATTTCTTTATAACTTATAATACCTTCCTTTCAACACCTTCATCACTAAATTAATTCTCAAATTTCACAAATTTTCTTAGCATCTTGGCAATTAACTGCAATATACAAATTATTCATTCAAAAATGGATTTATATCATCATTATCATTACTACCATCATTATCATTACTAATTTCATTATTGTTACTACTATCTTTATCATTAGTATTAGTACCGTCATTATCGTTACTACTACAGTAATCCTAAATAAAGTATTTTAACATTAGTAATTTAATTGGTTTCAAAAATACTAGTAAACACATAAGTATTTACTGCTTTCATGTCTGTTAAATTTTCAGTCCAAGATTCAACAACCTCTGAGTCAATTTTCGTCGAAAGATGTCTTTCATCAAAGATGATTTCTAACACTGATTGAATCCAAATGGTATTTGCATGTGTACATTCTTTTTTGAATGCAAAGATGGATTTGATAATTAATACAATGTAAATATCAGATAACAGATCATTTGGGTTGCATAGCACATACAAATCCTCATAAACTTTCCTAACATTTTCACTCTCTTTCCACTTTTTCATCTGCTTTTTGCTAAAACTATCTTTATAATGTTTTATTCTGGTAACTCCTAAAGTACTCTATAAACTCTTCTTTAATCTTCTTATGTAGTAACCTTTCTTTACGCAATTTGTATGAAGAAGCTAGTATATTAAAAATACTGTTTAAATAAATTAATAAAATGTTCTCAACCAATATGTAGATTATATCATATAAAATAAATACTATTTACTGCTAAACATAATTTTCCACTCCATAATTGATCGAACGAAATACCTTTATCATGCAACTTCTGAAGTTGCTTAGTATAATACTGATCATTTTCTAACTTAGCTTTGAGTCGCGTTTTCATTTGCATGTTATTTATTTGTTGATGCTCATGAAATAGTTTATAAGAAAGTTTTTAATTGCATCCTATAATACAAGTAATTAGTATAGTACTGAAACAATATAAAAAAAAATAATATAAAATTATAAATTCTTCTTTATTTTTTCTTTGTCTTTTCTGCCTTTCATTTTAACTTCAGTTGATACACACACATTTAAAGTATTTAGTTTTTCCAATTTTGACATTATTGTTGCAATATTACCATTTTATTCGATAATTATAGCTTCTACTCTTTCTTGACTTTCTACAACCGATTTAAGTTTTATAAAGTTATTTTAAGCAATTTTAATTAATTTGGTCAAATCACGAACTGCCAGTAAATTATCATTGATGAGATTCAATTTAAATAATATTGATAATAGCAATACTTGAAATACTAGTATAGATTTTGTTTACTTTGATCAACCATCATCACTTTCTGAGCCGTTGCCGTCAATGTTATCACTTTTTGAGCTATTACAGTCAATGTCATCACTTTTTGAGCTGTTGCTGTCGATGTTGTTGCTTTAGAATTTGTTTCTTTGGATACCATTTTGTTAGGTAATATGTCTTTATGTACTGTTATTTTGACAGCAGAAGGAGGAATTATCAACACAGAAAGAAAATTAGGAAATGAAGGACTTGTTGGCAATTCGCTTGTTACCTAATATAAAACATAAATATATTTATATTTATAAAATGAATAATAACAAATAAATAAATATTACTTGAGTATCATCTTTACCAAACAAGTTTATCTTCAGAATTTTTATCTTTTTTTGTGTTAGGCTTGCATCGATACCTGTTAATAATAGTGTATTTTTTATGCGTTTGATTAAATTTAACTAATAATATAAAAGTTTTCATACCACTTTGTTCAACAATCATCTAAAAGATAACATTAGTAAACAATTATCATGATTTAAAGATAATACACAATAAAATTAAAATAGTTACTAGTTAATAATTACTTCTTCTTTCTTTTCTTTCGTACTTACTGATCTTGTTCTTGGAATTTAAATTCAGAGTAAATTTATCTTTATCTTTGTCGTTATTCATTATTAAGAGATCGATTCAGTTAGTAAGGGCATAAGAAAGAAAAAAGGGATGTTAATATTTTCTCGATCCTTTTAAATTATTAATTCAATCGTAGTTTGAATTTTTCAGTCATTTACTGATTGTAAATCAAATTATCATATTTAATATGATGAATTGTTAGTTCGTTGACACTGCGTACTATCAATTTAATCATTAGTCAACTTAATATAATCATTGCAGAAGTTAGTTAATACTGTTCGCTAGTAATAAATACTCACATTAAGCAACAATTCATATTTTGTAAAAGTGATAATTATTGCCAGTTATTTTATCATCGTTTTGTTGAACGAAATTGGAATCGTATTGTTACTATAATCGCATTGTTAATTACTTATTTAAACTGTCATTTTCAGGTTATTGATGATTAGTGAAATGTCTAAAATATTCTTTTGTAAAAATTATATTTTAAAAACTTACAAAAATGTCTTATAAATGTGAACATTGTGGGAGATAATTCTCTTGTCACGCTTCTTTACAGAACCATATAAAGATGCATAAGAGTGTAATTAATAGAATTTTACATGAGATTTCTCAAGAAGTGAACCGGTTAGAGATATTGAATAAATGATGAAGAAAATGACCAAGAAAATGAAGAAGAAAACGAAGAAGAAATAATAATGATTACAGAAGAAGATAACCAACTAGAAAGTGAAAACGAGATGAGCTATGAGTACAAGGACCAACTAGGAGAAGAGTTGGTTAATTTTTTTGAAGTTAACATTAATAAATAAAAGCTGGTTAATTTTCCTAAAGTTAACATTAACGAAAAAGAGTTGGTTAATGTTAACATTCACTAAGAAGAATTAGTTAACGTCCTTGAAGAAGAGTTGGTTAACATTAATAAAGAAGAGTTAGTTAATGATAATGAAGAGTTAGTTAACACTGATGATGAAGATAATAATGATGACGATCAAGTAGATGTTTAAATTTATACTTTGGTCATGCAAATATAATATATTTAACTTATTAAATATTAAATACTAATTAAATATTAATATACTAGTGGATGATAAACAAAAATATCAAAATTAAACATCAGTTATTTGATGTTAAAGCAACTCCAGTCATTAAGTCCCTCGATATTACTAGTATCTCAGCTTGTCCTAAATTCCCAAGTGAGGAATATGAAGATTTTATGGAATTACTTATTAAATGGAATTTATCAGATGCATGTGGCAGTGATATACTTAAGTTTGCTCAAAAAATCTCCTGTGATAATGTAATTTTACCAACTTCAACAAAGCAAGAACGTCAATTATTAAATCAGATAAATATACAGCATAATTTCTTTGATAAAATGCCGATAATGTTATACAATGATAAAACATACTATCTTTATCATCGTCATATTTTTGATGTTATAAAGGAATTGTTAGAAAATAAAAGTATATTTCAATATTGTGTTTTTAAATTTAAGGCATTATATCATGAAGGTCAAAGGTTTATTATGAACAATACAATGGGGAATGGTGAGAAAGTGTACAACAATTAATTGCTAATAGTACAACAGTTTTATTCATCATATTATATTCAGACGCGATAACTTGCGACCATCTGGATAAAACTAGCGAGCATCCTATCTACTTAATATTAGGAAATATTCCTAGCTGAATTAGAAATAAACCTAATGCCAAGGTTCTTTTATGATACCTTTCACAATTAAATGTGAAAACTATCTCTGAATAAAGATCCGGAAGCTTTCAATTGGCAAAACGAATTTTTTACCAGTACTCATTAGATGTTCATTGCTTGATTATAAAAATACCGGTTTAGACATGCAAACAGAAAATAACGAATTATAGTATTTTCCATTTTTTCTGCGATATTAGGTGACCTTCAAGAAAATTTGGCCGTAATATTAACATTCACTTCCGTCAATTGCAAACATCTATGTAATAAATGTTTGATAAAAATTGATGAATTGAATAATACAACATTAAATGATAATCAAATTGTTTTTCGAACACAGGAAAACATGGAAAAATGCGTTAATAATGGTATTACAAATCAATATTCCTTGCATAACATAAAAATGTTTTTTGAAAACACCTGTAAATAATGTTATTAAAATTTTTGCAACAATTACAATATACATAGCATGTACTTATTATATATACATTTTATTATTTGATAATATATAGTCATTTTAATGTTTATTTGGTGACAATACCTGATCATATGCATCATCTTGACTTGGATTTGTTCAACTACTATTGACTTTTATAAGAGAACTACTTAAAGAATTATGTAATCAAGTGGCAATTACTGAACTTGATAATCATTTATCATTAATTCTGAGGTTTTCAGGCCTCAAGATATTTAATAATGGTCTGAAAAATATCAAATGATTTACTGCGAATAAATTTCAAAACATGATAAAAGTGTTTCTCTTCGTAATTGAAGGAATAATAATAAAACATCATAAACGATCAATAGAAACAAATACCGACAAACATTAGTATAATGCATTAGTTAATGTTTATTATTATTAGAACAAAATGTATTTATATAGTCAGCGAGAATGCTTTTAGAGTCAAATTTAGAAGAGTATAGGATATAACAATACTATGTTCAATGCATTTTATTTTATGTGTATTGTTAATCATCAATTAACACATTTTACTTTATGCGTAGGATTTAATTTCAAATTGGGCAACACATTTTGTAAAACCCTTTGAAAATTATTCACCATCAGAACTCAAATAACCAAAATTACATAATTGGAGATATCATATTATATCAACAATTAAAGAATATAGTGCAATTAATGGGTTTATGATGGAAACCTACAAATTGTTACATAAGAATTCTATTAAAAAACTATATAGAACTAGCAATAAATGTGAAGCAACTGACCAAATGATTAAAACAGTTTACTGTAATTCGATAATTAAATAATTGCATAAACATAATGTCAATGTTAATAAACACCATTAAAAAAAACTATGAATGGTTTGTTGGGTAAATTTCCTTTAAAAGGATTTGGAAAGTTTTTTGATGAATACAAGGCAAAAAATATCTTGGTCTAAGAATCTTTAATATCATTAGAACATTTTATTCTGTCATTAAATAAATTTCTTAATTTATGTGATGATTTGACTGAAGAAATAGTCACTAACTACATAGAAATTAGTTGGTATAGCCACACTATTGTGGCTTCTGGTGATTATATTAGAGCGAAGAGTTTGTATTATAATAAACATTCGTTTAGCAATGTATCCATTAATATGAGTGGAGAAGAAATTGGAGAATATAATACAGATGAAAATGCATGTTTTGGCAAGATGTGTATTTTTACTATTCAGTAGGGATTTCATATTATAATAGTCACAGCAAAAAATAATAAACTTAGTTGTTTTATATTTAGTTTCTTTTGTTGATTAATGTTGAAATTCAAAATTATTTGTTTAACCTTGACCTTGTATAATAATATAATTTTTGCTATAAAAATGATAGATAACGTTTATATAAATATGATCGTCTCTTGTTGAAAATCACAAATACATATAATTTTGTACTGGTAGAGTCAAATATAGAATTAATACAAATAATTAAGCATGCTGAATTTTGTAAATATATATATATATTAAAATATATTAATAGTTATAGTTTTTATAAAAAAAAATGTTTTTATAGTTTTTTAAATAAAATATATACCATTAGTATATGAAGTTACATAACACTATATAATGCATTGAACAGCTTTTTTTGTTAAAAAACATGTTTACAAATAGTATGTGTTGATAAATGCTAGTATATGCCAATATTTAATATAGTGTATCACGTTGTTAATGATAGTCTTGTTATGATACATAATACTGCATCTAACTTAATTGACGAATGGTAATTATATCAATTACGAATATCAACTTTCTACCGTTTTTCAGATTTCTCAGATTTCACTAATTTCTTAGTGATTTCTAATTTCTCTAATTTCATATATTTCTTTTATATATTTAATATCTTTATTTTCTTATATTTCTTTTATTTCTTTACTATCTTAAATATTTATTTAATATTGATGTATTTTATATAAATATCTTGTAATTCTGCCTCAATAAATGGCAGAGTCATTATCAATTTCTCTAATAAATCAATAATATTTATCTTTAAAACTTATCTTTGCTTGTAAACTTAATTCATTCTTCTTTAAATCTATATCAATAAAGACGACCTGACCCTTTAATTAATTATTCGTGTTTATTTCTTTCATAGTTTAGATGTACTTTAACTCCCTGCTAGCAAATAATCTTTGTTAACTTAATGACGAACAGTTTAAGCTTAACAACGTTGATTTACAGATTTGTATTGATCAACATGTATTTTTGTGTAAATTATTGCTTCTCAAATATGCTGATATAATAGAAATTTTTGAAAAATAGAAAAAAGAAAAAAAATAATTGCACTTATAACAGATAATAATTCAAATATAAAAAAAACTGCTCAATTAATGAATACTATAGATCATTTGCCATATGCAGTCCATACTTTACAATTAGCAATTGAAAAGACTTAACCTAGCTCAACAAAAAATTAGATTTTAAAAACTTGGTCAGTAATTGGAGATATGACAATAAGATAGAATTCATCATTTTATACTTTAAACAATTATTAAAATTAAAATGCATAATAATTTTCTTCTAAGTCATTTAAAAATAGAATGAATAATACTCTTTAATAATGAACAAAAATTATTAAGTAAACTTATTGATATATTAGAAGGTTTTGAAGAAGTAACAGCATTACTTAATGGGGATAAATATATCATAATTTCTCAAATGTATCTTGCTATTTCTCAAATTATTTTAGATATTAAACCATGAATTGAACTATCTCCTTGTTTAATTGAAACTGAAGACGAATTTGATGATATCAATCAAATTACGCTACTTGAAAATATGAAGGAAGTAATAGAAGATAATGAAGGTTTAATAAAAATTTATTTGTGAAATTGATTAAAAAAAATAGATATCTCTAAACCCTTAAATTTATCATCCGATAATTATATTCAACTATAAAGCAAACTATGTATGAAAATATTGGAAAACATCAGCTTTTATTGCTATAATAGCTTGTGTATTAGATCCCCAGTTTAAAAAATTGCGATTTACATCTGAAACTATAAATATTCAAATTTATGAAGAACTTCGCGGCATTTACAATGAAGAAAAAGAAAATCAAATGGTAATTTTAACTTAATTTAACAAATTATTAACAAATTTATTTTTAATACTTATTTTAATTATATTAATAGGCAAATGAATCTGAATCCTTTTTTGCGTTACCATCAGAATTCTGTCTCAGATACAGAAATGATTGATGGTGATGACAATAATTATGAGCAAAGAAAAAAATCGATCTTAGATTAACCAGATAAAAATGAAAATGAATTGTATATTTATCTTTCTTTAGATGAAGAAGGAAGAAATACTGATCCATTCGATTGGAGGAAACAAAAGAAAACTCGTTTTCCAGTATTAGCAATAATTGCTCGTAAGTATTTAAGAATTTGTCCAACATCCGTTCCTTCTGAAAGGTTATTTTCAGATGTAGGAAATAATATTACAGCAAAGAGATCAAATCTTAAATCTAATTTAGTAGGCGAAATAATATTTTTAAAAAGAAATATTGTTACACGCAGTTCGTGACGTTTATTGGTTATAAACAATAGAAAAAGTAAGCAGAAGGTTTCTTTATTAAATTTATTTATTAACAACAAGAGAAATCTAACATAAATCTACGTAAATAAAGTATTGCCTCAATAGTCGGCGCTCTATATGATCAGATACGCAATTTATTATATATTTTCGTTATCGTTACAAATAAAAGGGAAAGGGGATATATGCTAATGTTATTTATCGTTTCGTTTATATCTAGAGAATATATGGAACACTTGATACGTACTATTCAAGCGAAATCCCACCTCTTTTATACTTAAAACCCAGCAAGGACTAATTGTTCAGAGGCCCTTTTGTCTTCGAAACATAATGGCCGGGTGACTTATTGGCCTGCAGACAATTTGGCCAGGGAATTGGGCCATTGATCTACAAAAGTCTATCTAAAACTTAAATTTAAACTAAACAGAAATGGGACACAATGCCCTGGAACTAATGGAACACGATAGAACAATTAAATTACTAATATTTCTTTGTAACAATATGTATCTTTTGTTATAGTTTTTAATAAAGGATTAATTACCGGGATAACAAAAATAATATTATCGTAATATATAACGATAATTTATCGTGACGTGACTTTATTTATTTATTAAATAAAATTTAATTTACTAAACCCGAAGGCCAACTCGAATGCTAACTCGTGTGGCTGTGTAATTTAATAAATTATCCATCCGAAATGTAATTTACCCGGAATCACATGATGCATAGTTACGCCAAACCATGTTGAAATAAAAAAAAAATATATTTAAAAAGATCAACATAATTATTATTTTTCGACACATTTTCCCCCTTACTTTCTAACCATGCCATTATCAAAAATCTTTTCCGGTGATTTATCAGAACTGACACATATTGTTATAAAATGTTTACGAAATGATTTAAAATCTCTTTATTCATGTATTTTGGTTAATCGATTTTTATGTCGGATGACTATTCCAATACTATGGGAGAATCCATTTACTTTGAAATGCCTAAATGGAAAACGTTTCGACTTCCTTGATGTTTACTTTAAATTTTTTAGTAGTTTAGATAGAGAAACATTTATAGAATTTGGGACTGAAATCAAACCTATTGAAAACCCTTTATTCAATTATCCCTCTCTTATTAAAACACTTGATACATTTCGAATGGAATCGCATACAATTAATTGGATAAGTAATCTTGATAATATGTCATCCCATTCAACATACAAAGATGAATCGGATAAAATTACTTTTCGTGATAATGAAAAGGAAGTTTTGTTAATCGTTAATGATGATTCAAGATTAAAAAAATTGGTTGATAGGATTTGTGGTTTCTTATTGAAATCTTTTATAACCAATAACGCTTCCTTGAAAAAATTCAATCTGGAAATCACCACTTCTCATGGTCATTATTTACCTGTATTCTTTCAATTTATTTTTGATCATGCAACATTTTTGTCAAATGTCGAAAAATTTGGCATTGGTTTTATTGCGAACTCTCATGACTTAAAGTATTCTCAACTTTTAACATCTTTACCATCTTCATTACCTTCAGTTAAACATTTTCATATTTCTTATATTGCTAGAAGCAGAAATTTGACCAATGAGACGAGATCAAGGATACACCTTTTATCATTTAACATTTCATTAGACGCCTTAAATTATTATAATAATAATTTAACTTCAATTGAGTTTCATCGTTGCAATTTTCAAAAAGTTTACAAATTTGATGAACTTAATGATTTGGCACAACTTAGATCTCTTGTCTTCATTCAATGTAAATGGATTAACTCTCAATTTTTCCAATCATTACTTGATATTCCAACTCCATTAAAACTGAAATCTTTAAAAATCCATGGTCCAGCAACAGGATTTGATTTATTGATTAAGAAGTCTGGTTCTTACCTAGAGCATTTAGAATTATTTCTTATTGGACCCTCTGGTGGAGTTTATGAAAATATTATAATTCATTGCGATCAATTGAAATTCCTTCACTTGGCTAATATTAATCATAAAGACAATTCTCAATTGTACGGAATGATTTCTCGTAATTACGAACATCTTAAATATCTTACACTTGCATCAAGCATGAGTGTGAATAAGAATTCAAAGTTTTTATTTGGATTAGGTTCAGTATTACCAAAATCTTTAGAATATTTGGATTTTGATATTGCGGCTAATCAGAAGAGCTTGAAAACTTTTCTGACCGATTTTAGACATATCAGATTGAACACATTATTATTTAGGAATAGAAAAAACGCGAGCGTCGATGTTACCTTTATCATTTTAAAAAATTTTGTAATTCAAAATGAGATAAGAAATTTTTCTTATCTTATTAACAAAAATTTTAACCCGGATGATATTGAACATCGTAATTTGTTACAGCTTGTTAATAATCTCCCACCTAGGGTAATAATGCAAAGATATCGTGACTTGGTTGTTAACATTTCTGATTTTAATTATGACTAGACTTTCTGTTTTTTTTTTTTTTTTTTTTTTGTTTTCCATATATATAATTTTAATAAATGTTTTGAATTCATTATTGGTCGATATTTGGGCATTTATAATCACTACATGAAAAAAATCAAAAATTAATTTTGTAGAAACTACATCTCGATATGCATTTGGACACAAAATAATTTTACAATAGTAATTTCATAATATTTATTATATTGCTTCTATAGGCAATATAAAGTGAATCAATCTTAATGTATTAATTTAATCATTTATTAAAAAAAATATTAAACTTATGCGGAATCATAATTGAAACTCACCCCTCGAAAATTGTTGAACTCAAAGTTCATATTTCTCTTAAAAATTATTCATAAAATTTATTATAACAATAAGCGATTTAACATTTCCATAACTCGTAATTTCTAAAATCATTTGGGACCGTTTAGTTTGCGGAATGGAAGAATTGACTATAGATCATATGACCATGTTGGATTATCATTAAATAATTGATAATGATAGTATCCTACCAAATCATCGGTATATACATCAAAACTATAAATTTCCCCAAAAAATATAAGAGCAGATTGAAAGTATAAACGTCGTATTGTATTGGTGCTTTTCTTTTTATTACAGGAATATTCCATTTCACTGATTTTAGATTAAATTCATATATCGCCTAAATAATTTTAAATTAACATAAAGAATTCTTCTGTGAATAGATTAACTAAATTCCATTTTGCCTGCGAATTTTTTCATAAAAATCAAAAGTTTATAAAGTAAAAATGATTTAATTTTGCAGCCAATCCATTTTCCAAATATCATCAATTTGGTAATATAATATTTGCAGTTGAGCACTATATTTATGCAAATTTATAAAAAGAAAGTTGCTACTCACTGTTAACATTCCTTTTAGCTCTAAATTATTTATACTTTCAGTTTCATTATTGAATTTTAAAGTTTAAATTACACTATTAATGTTGGATGCAATTCCAAAATTATTTTTGTTAGCTGGCATACAAAAATTTACTTAAATTATTTTTTGGTTTAAAAATAAATAATTTACAATCGATTTTCATAGTTTTACAAACTGTTAATTGTAAAACGTACGTCATTTTGCATTGTACGAACGTTACAACAGACAGCTTATTTGGTTAGTTTAATGTATATGGCGTAATTGATATGGTTACTGATAAAAAATGGTTTCGTAATAAATGTTTCGCGTGTCACACATTCTATCTAGCCAATTATTTTTTAAAAAATAATTTTACATCTCTCTAAAAAGTAAAAATCATTATAAACAATTTAATACTGCCCGTCAGCTACTAAATAATCCATATTTACAAACCAAACCATCTAAAAGTATAATTTAAATAAATAGCAATTCAATTTATCAAAAATAATTTACGTGCTTAAAATACAGAAAAAGCAACAAAAGCAGCTTGAATATTTTGAAAATATATGACTGATTCTGATCCACAAGAGGAGATGTAAAATTCAATCAATTTATTATCAAGGTGCAAATTATATTGCTACGATAAAAAAAAGAAGAACGGAATATAAAGCATTATCAATGTTATAACGAATGTCATTTTCAAATGGTAACTTTTTTTTAGTTAGACTTATAATTATTAACACAACCTAATATATAATGTTCTATGAGAATCTATAAAAATATTTTTAACTGAACGGCGCTTCATTATAAACGATCTACTTTTAATCTTTGAAGTTAAAAATACATTATATTCTGAATTAACATAGAAAATTTACTTTTCATAGATAAAGTCACATCTCTTTCACGTAACATTTTAAATTTTTAATGTTGCCTCCAGCTCCTCACATGATTTTTACTATAAAATTGAAATTTAAGAAAAAAAGAAAAATCAATTTGGGAGTGTGAGGAAATACTTTGATGAAAGAAAATGAGTTCAATATAATTGTGCCCTTAGCGTTTCGTTTCTAAAACCCAATAACAAACTTTTTATCATTTAAATTATTTTCTGAAAATTTAAAATTTGTACTGACACTATTAGAATACTTCATAACAAGCCGTGCAATATGAAAAACAATTAATTGGTTAATTTTTTAAAAAGGAATAACGATGACTAACATGAATTGCTTTGTTTATATCTCGAATCTTTATTATTTTCAAATAACCTAAATTTTAATCTTTTAGTGTACATCCGCACGTAAAACATTTATACATGATTTCCAAACTTACAATTACAAATTACCCACTCGATAAATTATTAGTTCGCCGTAAACTTTTGAAGACTTTATGCATGGGAGGAGGATTATTAAGTTGTCAACTTCTTACGAGAAAGTTTAAGATTGGACAATGAAATTCCTCAAGACTTTTTTAAAAAAGCCATCAATGGTTCAGAATCCCTCTGCTTAACTAAGAAATTACTTACTTGTAAGCCGAGTCAATTCGAACTTGCTGATGAGCCAGCCACTAGAGCTTTAGATGCGATTAAGGAATTTCATAAGGAAGATAATATTGGAGAGAAATGCGAAAGAACTCGTGATAAGATTGGAAAGTTGCGGCTATTGTGTCTGAATATAAATTTCATTTCATTTTTTTTACATCCAGTAAACGCTGTTGGTGCTTTGGCTCATCAATTGTTTGAAATTGAAAGTATTTATATTTAATTAATATTTATAGTAAAAATATATAAATAATTTTGTTCTCATCAATAATACTCATCCACTTTGATGTGGCAAACATGAGAAATCAATTCTGTATCATCACTCAAGCATAAGTAAATGGGTGGTATGCTATTAAAATTGAGGTACGAGATTTTAATAGCATATTACCCAAATGTGTTTTCGAGAAAATTTAAATTCTTTTTTAAGTAATATTATATAAAGTAAATTTGAGTGAGGATACATTGCTAATCTTCCTACAGAAATACATGATTTATTAAAGTAATCATATCCATGAGTTGTTAGTTCGGCACTATTACATTGCCTACACTCAAGAATATCATGTAGTTCAGTTGACTATTGCCTACACGTCAAACTTCAACCACTAAAATTCTGATATAAAGTATCTAATGATTTCTGATAAACTAGAAATTTTTTATGACTAAAATAATTCTTTTAAATGTATAAACATTTGAAATCTTTTAAAATCTTTTAAAAAATAGCTACATATATGAGGCCTTTGCAATAGAAAGGGGGGAAACTGCCAGGAAAAATTAATTTTACTTTTATATGCCAAATATGATTTTTAGGCTGAAATATGTTCAAATTTAGCATTAACTTATTTTTGATTATTCCGGCTGTTTCCCCCCTTTCTATTGCAAAGGCCTCATATAATCAATATATAAATTTTTGTTTAATAATTCAAATTTCTTTGTATAGTTCATTATTTAATTATTGAAGATTTGATTTAAAATAAATCAGCTAAATTTAAGTCGTATCAAAGCTTTAATGAAGAATGAGCAGGATCAATATTTGAATATTGTGTTTAAAGAACACAATAATAATTAAGTAGAATCCTCCGTTACGTAATAACCTTTAAGAGTAAAAGACAATCCTAATCTAGTCCTAACGTAAACTAAGAGCGAAACGAAGTGTTTTATATTAAAATACCTTCCTATGTTACGGCATTCTTTAAAAATATCAGTAGACTTTCGGTTTGATGACGGAGTTTCTAATTAATTGATCCCTGATGTCAAAAGTGGTCATTTTGACATATAATTTCCATAAGTCACGAAGTCCGAATGGATCGAAAAGTCAATTCCAACAGATCCCGCCAAGAATATACAGTATATTGATCGGTGATCAACACGTCAGTAACTAGATATGTTTTATGTCAAAATTAAATTTCTTGACATGCGATATATATTTGCTTAGCCCTTGATATAACATGCAATGTTATGGATCTGGTAATAATTTTACTATATTTAGCTTAAACAAAAAGAATATTCATAATTGCAAATATAAGCAACAACAATTAATACAACTGCAAACGAACTTCCCTAAACATTCGTTAAGTAATCGATTTACAAATAGCTTTGTTTTATAAGTATCCTGTTCATTTACAATAAACATTAAATTTAACACGCGCAGTAAGTTCATAAGTAATTCCACTGGAGCAGTGGAATTTACAAAATTAAGATAAGGGAAATGAAATATATAAACTGATAAATTTATTATGTAACCTAAGTCCTTGGTTATTTTTTGAAAAATTAATAATAAATAAATGATCTATATATTGTATTGAAAAAAAATTAATTATAAATGAAAGGATTAATTGAGATATTAGAAACAGATGCCAACGTAAATTTTTTTATTGCTCATTTGTAAATGTTGTGCTATTAAATTTTGCCTTAATTTTATTCTTTGCTGTGGCAACGGTACTTTCATTGATGCGAAACGTAACGAAATTAGAATAGAACGGTTCAGTCCTAAATGAGTGTCAGACAATTCTACAGAGAATTTACCCAATTTTTTTATCTCAGGTTAATCACAGTATGTAGCATTTTATTTGGTGGTTATAAAAAATTGAAATAATATGGACGTTTAATTTGGTATACTGGTACCATACTTTCTGAGAACTCTTCGTTCACATCAACCTCTATTCCTTTCTTGCCATTAAACAAAACTTATAGATGCGACCCTCTGACGTTTTACGAGATGGTGGATCACCGGTCTCCTATTATTTAAAAGAATAATAATTTAATTTGGGTAATGCATATTGATTATTTTGCAGGAAACAACCACCCACACTTATCCATTTCGCATAAACCTAAACTCCATAAGTCCATTTTAATACTCTTGTGATTACAGTACAGTTTTCATATCAAGTCCATATTCACATGGACCACTTACAACTGAGCGGCTGGTCTAGGTGGAACCGAAATGAATACTATTAATACTTTTTCTTAAAAAAAAATGAAAAAGATTTAAAATTAAAAGTGTCCATACTTGCCATTTCCAAAGAATTTCCAAACCTTTCTTTAATTCTATTTTGAACTTACTTTGATTCACTGAAGCCTCCAACTAAAAACATTACCGACAATTCGAACATTTCGATAATTGCATTTGAATCAATCTCAAAATTTTGTTCGCTACGGGGATCAAAAACGATTTCACTGTTTCAAAATAACGGTCAATTAGCCATTCATCTACTTCTGACAATTATTCCCTTTCTGATCCTGTGGCATATTGCAAAAGTGCCGGACATTTTTGTTGAATATCCAATTCAATAACTTAGAATTTGGACTTCTCATCAGAAAATGGAATTTTAATTATAGGACAAAAGAATTTATGCACGAGATTATTTATTTGACCATAGTGTTTCTCCTTTAGCATTTTCATTGCAGATTTACCTACTTTACTCTCAAGAAACTTTAGGAGCTCGTCATCGACGTAGGTGTCACCGCAAAAATCACCTGTACGTTCGGTTGTTTCTGCTAATCGATTATCATTTAATAATTTCTAACTGTTAAGACAACAGATCCTCCACCACAATCGACGACCAAATACGTTACTAAGTTGAATAATCCATTTACTTATATTACAAAATGATAAAATAACTTGAAATTTTTCTTTTGAACAAATACCTCCAGTTGTTAATTTGAGTTCTTTTACTTATTCATACAATGAATTGCAGCAGCTTCCGCTAAAGATTATAATAAGATGTTAAAATATTTAAATATTTATTTCAAAACTAATTTCTTACGTTCAGTGGTAAATTGTAGATTTAGTGTGAAAATAGTCTTGATCAAACCAGCACCGTTAATACATCTTCTCATAATTGTCTTAGCATTCTCGCCGAATTCTGAATTCTAAATTCTAAATTATATAACTTATATAATTGCGTATATATAACATTCATATGCACTTATAAATGTAATATCACTTACCAGCTGGTACGGTGAAAACCAATCGTACGTTTCTGTAAAAATCAATTCCAGGCCAATGATTCTCGATTTTATCTTTCATCGTCTAAAAATATGTTAATCAAAAGATATTAAAATATTTTTTTTCATCATATCTTTCCTTTTTTTACAAAAAAAAAATTGAAATACAATAAAATTAATTAAAAGATCATAAATTATATGTAACAGAAAAAAAAGTTAATATACTATACCCATTTAGTGAAGATAATCGATTATCGCCTTTTCAAAAGTGATTCCAGACGGTAATTTGAGCCTTTTGCTTTCAGAAACTTCTGCTAAATAAAATTTGATGTATTCAACTGGTTTTGGCAGTTTATTATTATGTCTTTTCCTTCTACTTGATTCAGTACTTAATGCATCAGCTCCCCAAGTGAAAACTTCATTGCTTTCGTCGTATTGTAGTAAAGTATTTGATTTTTTAGTACTTTTAAAATGCCCCCACTCCGCATTTACTACGTTTTCTGTTTTTGCCTTATTGTTTTGAATGTAGCGTAAGCAAATCCCTGATAAATTTGATAAAGGAATATGAAATGACAGTTAATTTCAAAAATCCATAAGCTCAAAATCCCGATGGTTCATTATCCCGACCATAATGTCATTAATCCCGAATGCTATAATCCCGAAATTTCATAATTCAAAATTTAAAATTAATAAAAATAATGAAATTAATCCTACCCCTTTTACTTCAACAAAACTTTCGTGGCCTTCTTTTAGAGGATGATATTTCCTTCCGATATTGACAATCAGTTGATGAAGGGGTTTATATTTGTGAAAAAAAATTGAATTTCTCACCAAAACGGCTTTTTTTTATCATATGGGTGGTATGCTATTAAAATTAAGGTACATAGTAAATCATATGATCCTCGCCTCAATTTTAATAGCACACCACCCATATCATTTAAATCACATTATAACGAAATTTTTTTTGTAAATTTCTTAGTTATACTAAAAAAAATAAAGAAAAATCTCAATAAATACAATTAATTAAAATAAATAATTAAAATCATATAAATATATTAAATTCTATATTAAGAAATTTTCGGGATTTTTCATTTCGAGATTATGAAATTCGGGATTATAACATTTCGGGAATTTGACATTTCGGGATTACAATATCCTGGGATTATAACGGGATAATGAACCATCGGGATTTTGAGCTTCGGGGATTTTGCACGAATCCTAAATTAATGTTGTAAGAATACCGAAAATGTAGTTCCGAAATCCGAGATTAAAACGATTATTTAAAAGCAACGGTTTAATATATTTATAATAAATAATTCTGAATATATCTTTTGGAATTATACACGTAAGTCCTCTAATTTGGCAGGTTCAATCAAATTCGATAGTATAAAATTGAGTCTGAATATAATAAAGTTCCATGTTTAAACAAAAAGAAATTATTATTTGTGGTGAATAAATGTAAAAAAAAATTAATGCCGGGAAAATAATAAAAAATGTGCCATACTTATTAGACAAAGTTCATATTGATGGTTGGCAATGTTTTTTTTTCGTTCATGACTTTAATTGCTTCATGAAATAAATATTTACTTTAAATTTGAAATTAACCTTTATTAAATGCATATATATATATCGATATAGTCAATAAAAACGCAGATGTGATGAGGTTAAATGTAGATGTGATGATGATGGAGAATAGTCAAATTAATTATGTAGAACAAATTTTTTTTATAACAAAATATAATTTAACTAATTTAAATTTTTAAAATAAATATGATATTAAATTTATTGATAACAAAAACAAAATATAAAAAAAATAGAGAGACAGTTTCTAACTATTTATCTTTTAATGTATTGCCAGGTATAATTTGTGCCTGAAATATCACTTTCAATATTTTATCAGCTTTTTCAGCTTCACAAAGATTAAACCCGAATATCGGAAACGAACAAGCGTCAACATATGAGTTTTCAAGTTCCTCTTCGTCCCAAGCTGCATACATTATTAAATTATTGACCTTTGTGTTTTTTTCAAAAAACTTCCACTCGGCAATAGGTTCTTGCACTTTTATTCCGAAAAAAAATATATTAACAATTTGTCTAACGATTTGATCCGTCAACATTTCATTGTCTAGCAATTTTTCCTGAATTTTTATAGTACGATATTTATTCATTAAACTTGTAATATCTTTACGTAAATTTACAATCAATGGATGTACTTTATCTTCTTTGTCAATAATAATATTGGAAAATCCGCGATTTCCAAGAACACCATAAATTTGTTGACGTATTTTCGTTGAAGTAGCTTTGCTAACCTTCTCATCTCCAGCACGATTTTTTGAAATTGATTCTATCAACTTCAACAGCTTCTCAGTTCCATTAACTATTTGCTCTTCTAATCTATGCTGTTGACTTTCGTCACCTACATCATTCTTTTGTTTATCAAAATATTCTTTGGTCTTTTCAATGACGTTTTCGATCACGTGCCTTTCTAATATACTAGAAATCATATGTTTAAATTTACTATTACGCATATTGCCAGAGATTGAACAACCATTTTTTTCCAAGAGTACTTTCACTTCCGATTCATTAATTTCTACACCTCTTTTAAGTCGACAAAATTTCTCTAAATTACTATGCAAAGCATAGATGTCTTCTGAAAATTGAACGGCACTGTTGGAATTTTGACTTCCTAGATGAAAGCTTGTTGCATTTATAATATCACCCAAAGCCGAATGACATTTGATAACATTCTTCTTTAAGTTCTCATTAGCTTTTTCCAGATTATTAATATAATCATCCTTTGATTCTAAGATTGCTTCTAAATTTAGACGTTCTGCTTGAAGAATTTGCGATTGGCTTTCGATTTGTTTATTTTTTTGTTGAAAACTAGGATGAAGCATCTGCCAATAACTTTTAGTATTATTATCATTTTGACTTTCTTCCAATTTTCTTTTCAATTTATCATTTTTTAATTTCAATTCTTCACATTTACATTTCAATTCTTCAGAATTTGTATCGTAGTTCTTTTTGTTATTTAAATTATCATGACCTCGAATTTTTAAAACATACTCGACGTAAGAATCCTGCTGTTGTTTAAATTGTTGTAAGAAATCTTGCTGCTTTCCTAAGAGTTGCTGTTGTTGTAAGGGCTGTTGATGATATATATTTACAAGATTTTTCAAAGTTTTTTGCTGATTATTTAAGAGGGTTTGCAATTGATTCAGTTCTTGACATGTAAAATGTGGGAATTGTTGTTGCTTCTGTTGTTGATGTAAATTCTGCTTATTTTGTTGCATTAAGAGTTGTTGTTGTTTCTGTAGCAAATTCTGTTCCAGAAATTTTTTATTCTGCTGATTTTGTTGCATTAAGAGTAGCTGTTGCTGCTGTTGCAAATTCTGTTCCGGAAATTGTTTATTCTGCTGATTTTGTTGCTGTTGCTGCTGTTGCAAATTCTGTTCCGGAAATTGTTTATTCTGCTGATTTTGTTGCTGTTGCTTCTGTTCCGGAAATTGTTTATTCTGCTGATTTTGTTGCTGTTGCTGCTGTTGAAATTTCTGTTTCAGAAATTTTTTATTCTGCTGATTTTGTTGCATTAAGATTAGCTGTTGCTGCTGTTGCAAATTTTGTTCCGGAAATTTTTTGTTCTGCTGATTTTTTTGCGTTAAGAGTAGCTGTTGCTGTTGTTGCAAATTCTGTTCCGGAAATTGTTTGTTCTGCTGATTTTGTTGCGTTAAGAGTAGCTGTTGCTGCTGTTGCGAATTCTGTTCCGGAAATTGTTTATTCTGCTGATTTTGTTGCTGTTGCTGCTGTTGCAAATTCTGTTCCGGAAATTGTTTATTCTGCTGATTTTGTTGCTGTTGCTGCTGTTGAAATTTCTGTTTCAGAAATTGTTTATTCTGCTGAATTTGTTGCATTAAGAGTAGCTGTTGTTGCTGTTGCAAATTCTTTTCCGGAAATTGTTGATTCTGCTGATTTTTTTGCATTGCAAATTCTGTTCCAGAAATTGTTTATTCTGCTGATTTTGATGCATTAATAGTAGCTGTTGCTGCTGTTGCAATTCTTTTCCAGAAATTGTTTATTCTGCTGATTTTGTTGCTGTTGCTGCTGTTGCAAATTCTGTTCCGGAAATTGTTGATGTTTTGGCGGGAATTGTTGTGCACTTTGTTCGTAGGATAGACGATGTCCAGCTTTATGCCCCTCATTACCATTAAAGCTTTTTGAAGACTTACAATACATAGATGATTGCCATAAACCATAATTGTGATTATAATCGAACCCGTAACTCTGTAAAGTCATATCCTTTTTATCAACACACATTTTGTGTGTTAGGCCAAAATTACTAATAAACTCATTAATTTACTTAATTTAGATATTCACCAATTTATTTTGGTGTGACTATATAGAGGGTCGACTGATTTTGAAAAAAAAGTAAAAAAATAGATTAACCAAAAATATCACAATAAAGGCTTCTTTTTTTGACCCAAAATAGTAAGATACTACAAGACTGACATCAAAAGATGTATATCGCCATTGTTTTTTTTTTGTGAGATATTTTTTGCATGCATGTAAAGAGTTTCGGAGTTCCGATTGCGATGATCTACACGGATAAGTTAATAATTTATTTTGTGTTGATTAATAATTTTAAACCTTGGAACGTTACTTATTTAAAAGTATTTGAGTGAATAGACTTTTTGTTTCATAAACGTAAAAAGACGACTCGATAATTGCTGTTTGTACAATTAAAAATATCTTACGGACCATGATTTACTATGTTCCGTAAGGTGATTGATTTTAATAGCCGATCACTCATTAGTACCCGAACACAATTATTACATAATAATAAATAAACTAATGAAGAGTATTGCACGAATTAAAGTAACTATTTCGTTTTATTTGAATATTTATAAATTACATGAATTAACTATTTGAAATGAGTTGTTTAATAAACTTAATCGTTTATGTACAAGCACTGAACACGCGCATAACACAAAATTTTAAGGAAGCCTGTATCTATAGTTTCAGTTGCCTGTTGTGTCTCATTTTTTTTTGCATAGGCAATGAATTGACTAATCAAATTCTTATTGCTTAATTAATTAATCAAGTAACCGCTAACCATTCTTTGTTTAGTTTATTTTTAATTTTGTGTTATGTAGGCAATTAAGTTAATTAAGCAAAAGTTTCAAAAATATTTGAATATAAACGAAATGGTTACTTTAATTTAGCACAACATTCTTTATTTGTTTACTTTTAAGAATATTATGTTTAATTGTGTGTCAGGTGTCCAATCTGAAACGGTAATTAATTTTGTGTTCGATTAATGATCAAAGTTTGATGAATAAAAACTTTTGGGATGATATTGTAATGCACGATAATTTTACAAAATTACATTTGTTCATAAAAATTATTATATATGAAATATTTAATTGAGAGTCGGAGGTGGTAATCAATCCGAACCGGTCGAAACGACCTGGGCATTTGAACTCTATCGGGTTGGATTAAAATCTGTGATAATTCCTGCAAATCACAAATCACAAACTATGAGTGGCGTAGTAATCGGGTGGTATGTATAATTTTTTTGAAGCTATGTAAATTATATACACTAAAAAAGGCAATGTAATTAATTATTGAAAAGCAAAGTAATGAATACTTGCCGATCGATTTTTTAACGTTCATTACTCTCCCCCCGTACTAAAATATATTAATATGAACGCGTTCATAAAAACACCTGAAAGCTTCTTTGCAGCGGTAACTACTTTACAGAAACCCGGTGTTTGTCACCTGGCCGCCACGTGATAGACTCCGATTCGTCCGAAATTCGTGTCGATCACGTAACTATCTGTTAAGTTACGAAGTAGTGAGAACATCGCCGGTGCTTCGTAATCACTTAGTTTCGAAATATTAGAGAATTATAAAATTAATCGTAATAAACCTGTAATAAAAATCGAA